GTGAGTGAGTGAGTGAGTGAGTGAGTGAGTGAGTGAGTGAGTGAGTGAGTGAGTGGGAAGAAAAAAAAGTGGTGGGGGAGGGTTGAGATCGGCTTTGTACCATCATAATTCCTTCTTATTCGGGTGTCAGATCTGGAGCAAACATAGATGATCATGGTGGGCCTACCCTATTACTTCCTGTTGTCAGTCTCGATCTGCTCAGTTTAAAAAAAATTGATTTGCTAATCATAAAGTTATTCAGGCCACCTGCGTATGCTGTTCTGTCTTCCTCTGCTCGTCTTTCCCATGTCTTGATATAGGGCCTAGATCTAGTATAATCATATAGGCTTATCTATTAAGGTTTTGTACAGAAGTATTTCCAAAAGAAAAACCCCCACCCCATCTCACCCCAGGGATACACACTCATTAGTTTGAGTGTGTGTGTGTGTGTGTGTGTGTGTGTGTGTGTGTGTGTGTGTGAGTGTGTATGTGTGTGAGGGTGTGTGTTTTTGAGAGAGAGAGAGAAAGAATGAGAGAGAGAGAGAGTGTGTGTGTATGTTTTTGTGTTTGTGTGTGTGTTATGTTCCCTGGCGCACATAGTGTGTGTTTGTGTGCGTATGTGTGTTGCGTGTTTGTGCGTGTGTGTGTGTGTATATAATACGTGTGTGTATGTATACGACACATGTCTGTCTCCCCTGTCTCCCTGTTCTTTTGTCAGTCTATTTTCCTGTATACCTCCCCCCTCCCCCCCCCCATTTCAACTTTTGCACCACAAGTCAACAACCTCGTTAATCTGCGCGTGGCTGTGACAGATAAAAGTTTTTTGCCGTGAAAAACAAGCCTCTCTTGTAGCGTCCTATCTGTGTCAGTCCAGCTTCCGTAAGGCACTCACATGTACTTAACAAACACTTGTTGCCTTAATTCTGACGTCGGCTGGCCACTCATCCTCGTCGTAAATTTGTCTTCGGATACACCAGGTCAGCCTCTAGGTTGTTTCTACGTCTCGGTGCTTATGTGGGGCAGACACGCCTCTCAATATAACCGTGGTTCTAATGTCATGGTATCCAATCCACTGACATTGTGAGGGGTGTGTGATGAGGGGGGGAGGGGGGAGTAATCTGAACTGTTTTGGTAGGGGGATACTCTGGTGACTGACTGCTGTTTAATGTGAGGCATCGTGGTGAATTCATGTGCTCGTCACATTTTTCAGCCGTACGACAATTTTTAATCGATTTTTTTGTTACAGATAAACGTTTATCAAAGGCACACAAAAAAGTAAATTTGCAGTTTCCAATGAACTTTTATTACAGCATTAGAAGTCACAAAATTTTAGCGGCCATTTTCTCGCTACTTTATTTACCCCTGTACCAGATGACAACCGTTGTTACGGTTACACACTCCCATTGACACCGTTAAGGTAGTTCAGAGGGTGGACTGCTTGGGTCCTGACTGTAAGGATTATCGCGGGTTCTGGGGGATATTGTATCCTAAAAGAAAGGCAGAGATACTTAATAATAATTAATTATCTTCCCTTGGTGGGAATGCAACTCACGTGTTTTGTGTGCAAGGCAAAAAGCTTTACTGTGTTTCTGTAGGATCTCAAACATGGGCGGCTATGTATACCCAAGCAGAAAACAAACAGCGTTTGTGGCCATAGCGTGGAGCTAACGATAGGAACCATGAAATGTAAAAAAAAAAAAAAAAGAAAGAAAGATGAAGGAACAAAAACTTTATTTTTAAACAATTTTTTTAATGCATTAAAGAAAAAACAAATTCAAAATGAAAATACAGTCGCACATATAGCTATATAAGCCTACAGTTAAAAGTAGAATTCAGAAAGCAGACAAGCTTCGAAATTCCCAAAGACGTTAAGGAAGAAGTAAATAAAAATACCTTTATTTGCAGAACTTGCGAATGTGGATACACTCATTATAACAAGGTACATGTACTTCTATAGAATATGTCGTTCATTTTGCTTTTTGTGGCACCCCTTGTTGTATTTTAGTTAGTTGTTTTTTATTTTTAATTGTCTCAGTCGTTTTTATTTTGACACATAAAAGAGTCATGGAATGGAACAATTCAAAGAAATTTTGCAGTAACTACGTTATCCATAAAAAGATGATAAGTTACATTAGGAGAAATAGAAGAAATCCTGACGCACATGATGTCCACAAAAGAAATAACTGCAAATTGAAGATTAAAAACAGCTTGAAATATTTCATAGGTACAAAATGATGATTTTCCGAAGGATGGCAATGTATAAACAATAGCTAGATCTAATAGCGCTCAACATGATTCAAAATGTTTCTTACATAATGTTGAAAATTGGAAAACTTAATTGTTTTCCAGGAAATACTGATCAGGAAGATATGGGGAAAGCAAATGAAGAAGGGAGGATAGAAAGGAAACAGACGGATCTCTGATATGTCTACAAAGGGTGGAAAATCTGGAAACCATATTCGAGATGATAACCGGATGTATTCGGGATACAACAAATATGTCAATACAGCATTTTTTATATTTTATTGTGACAGATCGTGCATTTTATAACTAGGAAAAAAGTGCAAATGTTAACATTTTGTGATGAATACAAAGACATTAGCAGTTAACTGCTATTACGACACATTCATACTTGGAACGTGAGGGAAAAAAGAAGAAAATATTTACAAAAGTTTCATATAAATTATACAATAACACTTTGAGCTGCAATATCATGATCTATTTTGAAGTATTTCTCTTGACGTTCTCTTCAGAACAAAACTTGTGCACACACTTCGTGGATGAAGCGATGACGTCACGATGACGTAATGAACAACGGATCAGAATGGCACCATGTGTGGGTGTGGTCGTCGGGTGTTCAGCACACCTTCCGGTCTACGGCGGTCCGCTTGCAGCTCCATTCACCATCATCGTGACAGATGCACGTGCGCTCTATACAGTCCTCCACGCGAGCGAAAACACGTGTGAAGTGAGTGCGGTCTCCTACCTTGCAGCCTGCCGTGAGTAAAGAGATTATAGAAAACGTCAAGGGCTTGCTGAACAGTTATGATGAAACAATGGGGGTTGGGTGGGATCTGAGGAGATGAGCCCCTATAGTTCTGAGGTCACGACATACTAAAGTGAGGCAAACAGACAAAACGTTAGTGATCGTTGAACGCCTACTTCGCAGTGGTTTCTAACTGTAAAAAATGGAGAGAAAAAAGTATACATGAGTTGGTAAAAGAAAGCGAGCTATACCTCCCTACGTGTCTCTCTGTCCGTGTTTTTATACAGAGACAGAGGCAGACAGACAGAGAGGCAGGCAGATAGACAGACAGAAAGTCAGGGACAAAAAGAGAGGGAATAGAGTGAGAGTGAGTGTGTGTGTGTGTGTGTGTGTGTGTGTGTG